CTTTTTTTTTTTTTTTTTAAGGTTCATTTATTTTGAGAGAAAGAGCGGGTGCGTGCAGGGGAGGGGCAGAGAGGGACAGAGAGAGTCCCAGGCAGCGTCCTTGCCGTCCACACAGAACCTGACAAGGGGCTCGAACTCACAAACTGTGAGATCGCGACCTGAGCCAAAACCAAGGTTCGGACGTGCAACCGGCTGAGCCCCCAGGCGCGCCACGAACTTCCTTGTATCGTGTTCCTTAAAACCCCTGGTTCCTCTCGGGGGTCAGCTTCACCGTCCTTACTAGCACATGGACGCTGTTGACCCCCGGCGCTCCAGGGGGCCTGGAAGCTTTGCTGGTTGGGAGGCAGGCCCTGTGATCACAGCGACCCCGGGCCAGTTCAGCCAGGCCCTAGTGCATCTTGGCGGCGTCTGTCTGGCGGCCCGAGGGCTCGGCGTCTCCCCGTCGTTCCCGCTTTCATCAGAGCGCTCACCCGCCAAGTGAATCCCAAAGTGACCCTGAGAGAGACCAGTGGGCTCTTTAGATTTTCTGAAGAAATGAGCCCCACGTCACGTGGCTTCCCACCTCCCCTGGTGGACATGTTTTTCTGGTGGCCCAGATTCACTGGGGCTCACAGTGAAGGGGCCACGTGGGCTGTTGGGTCGGGCCGGCTTTTCAGGACAGCTCAGTATAGCGCCTCCCAAGCGTTTCCAGGGAAAGAAACGGAGCAGAGGATGAATTTCTCTGCCTTTGGGCCACAGCCCAGAAAACTGCCAGGAAGCCCCAAGTTTTCTTTGAATTCTTTGGTTTACTTTGAAAGCGCATACAAATCTTGTGTTTGGGGTTCTGATTACGTCTTTGTATGTCGTGATGTAAAAGTTAGGTCACGTGTTCTTTTCCCTGAGGATAGTTAAGTCCCCCAGAGGTAAGCGGCGCACCTAGGGGACCCAGTGCCGTGTACCCCGGTTGACGTGGAAACGGAGAGGGGTGGTCAGGTCTGTAGGCTCAGCCGGCTTGCCCCCGTCATCCCCACGTGCCGTCCCATCCAAGCCCAGCGGTCCCAGTATATTCGGGCGCGTCGGCAACGGTTGCATCTGTCGAGCCGCAGGACTCCCCGACAAAGCTTGTTGTGTTTCTCTGAGGAGCAAATCCGGGCGTTTTATGTAAAAGTTGGTAAAGCCCGGGGTTTGCTCCACAAGCTTGGCTGCCAGATGCAAGTGTTTAAACTTCTAATTCTCAGTTGCATAAAACGTAAAGGTGCTTTGTTGTAATAGTTCCCTTTACTTCTCCGTGTCGTTTTGCGCCCAAGCAGGACGGCAGGGAAGGGGAGACCCCTGAGTGTGAGTGGCTGACCCACAGGTCTGTCTGATCCCCCGCCCACCCCCGCCCCAGGTACTGGATATTCAGGTCCTGGGGCCGCGTGGGCACCGTGATTGGCAGCAACAAGCTGGAGCAGGTGCCGTCCAAGGACGGTGCCATTGAGCACTTTATGAAATTATATGAGGAGAAGACCGGCAACGCCTGGCAGGCCAAAACCTTCACGAAGTTTCCCAAAAAGTTCTACCCTCTGGAGATCGACTACGGCCAGGTAATTGCGGAAGGTCCGGCGCCGTCTGGTTGTAGCGAGAGGGAGGGACGCCCCGGGCGGGTGGCATCGTCACTGGGGAGTGCTGCTGGACGCTCAGAGTGAACACCGGCCCTTCCCAAACGATCAAGAGGGGGGAGCGCTCCCCAACGGAGCGACGCGGCCAGCGTCACATGGAGAGCAGAACCAGACAAAGACGTCGCCAGGAAACGCCAAAAGCCCTGCGAGCGTGACCGCAGCACGCTTACTGGCGCGGGAGGGCTTGTGCGGCACCCCGAGTGGGACCGGCCCCTGGGAATGGGAGGTCGGGGCAGCGCACGCAGATGGGCGGACCGCAGAGGGATCGGACGGGTCAGGGCATGCGGTCGCGTTAGTAGACGCAGAAGAAGCATCTGCTAAAACCCAGCAGCCCTTCACAGGTGAGATGCACACCCTCGAGGGTGAGGTGGAGCTTAGGTGAGGACGGCGTGTCGCTCGAGATTGCGGGTGTGGCTTCTGTCGCATGACCTGGCTTAGGTTCCAGGTAGAATTACAGTGACTTGGGCTCTGCTGGGTCATGGTTTGGGCCCCACGTTGTCTCCTGATGGTTTCTGTCGTGTGTTGGTAGCTCACCTGTTCCGTCACCGGAGAGTCTTCCATTATGCCTTGCTTGGTAGTTTGTGGACATCTGGACCTTCGTTCTGGCAAAATGCCTTACCCTGTTTTTTATGCAGGAATCTGTTACGCTTGATCTTTGGCCAGCATGGGGGTCTGGGGGCACAGCGCAGTCTGCCAGTGCGGTCACGAATCCACGTGAAGTTTGTGTTTATTTTGAGAGAGAGAGAGCCTGCCCTCGCACGCGGGGGAGGGGTAGAGGGGGAGACAATCCCAAGCAGGCTCCGCTCTGTCAGCGCAGAGCCCAGCATGGGGGCCGAACCCACGAACTGTGAGATCCTGACCCGAGCTGAGATCAGGCGTCAGACACTTGACCGACTTGACCACCCAGGTACCCCAAGGGTCAGCTGCACTTTTAAAGGAAAGACGTTTCTTTTCACAGAAGGAAAGATTTATGGATAAGTAGAGATTTTGATTCCCAGCCTTTGAGGCCTGAAGTGTCTCAGATGGGAGCTCTCTAGCTTAGAGAGTGCCATGAGCTCTCACCATTAAAAGTAGAATTTAGCAGAGCCTGGCAGGCTCAGTCTGTGGGGCATGTGACTCTTGATCTTGGGGTTATGAGTTGGAGCCTCACGTTGAGTGTGGAGATTACAATCAAATATCTTTATTAGAATTAAACTGGTGTGTCGCGTTGAGGTTGAGATCGCAGAGATCGTCTGACTCGGCAGTGCCCCCTACTGGTTAATTTTCCTGGTTTCAAAAATACATTTTAGAAATTTTTGAGAATGACGAAAATACAAAAAAATCACGATCGCCCAGAATTAAGTGCAGTTAAGATCACGGTGTATGTCTTCCGTGCTCCCCTCCCTCCATGGGCACTTGTCCCCACCAGAAAATTGGAGCCTTACCTTGCCAGCTGTGCTGAGACCACCCGCTCCTTCCCTGGACAGACCTGGAGCGTTTCCCCGCTGTCCAGATGCACGACCACGTCGTACCTGTCTCAGTAGCTGCATTTTGTTTGTTTCATTTAGAGAGAAAGAGAAGCTCGCATGGGGGAAGGGGGGAGGGGGGCAGGGAGAGCAAGCGGGGGAGGACAAAGAGAGAGAGGGGATCCCAAGAGAGAGAATCCCAAGCAGGCTCCAGGCTGGCAGCGTAGAGCCCAGTGTGGGGCTCTATCCCACGACCTTGAGATCATGACCTGAGCAGAGATCAAGAGTCAGACGCTTAACCGACTGAGCCACCCAGGCACACTGCCCCCCCAGTAGCGACGTTTTAAAAAGCAAAAAGAGGGGCGCCTGGGTGGCGCAGTCGGTTAAGCGTCCGACTTCAGCCAGGTCACGATCTCGCGGTCCATGAGTTCGAGCCCCGCGTCAGGCTGTGGGCTGATGGCTCAGAGCCTGGAGCCTGTTTCCGATTCTGTGTCTCCCTCTCTCTCTGCCCCTCCCCCGTTCATGCTCTGTCTCTCTCTGTCCCAAAAATAAATAAACGTTGAAAAAAAAAAATTAAAAAAAATAAAAAAATAAAAAAAAAAATAAAAAGCAAAAAGAAACTGTAAAACT